GACGAGTTGCCAGCACTAGCAACAGCAGCACCTGAGCCACCACCTGACAATTCATTATAACAAAATACACTCACAACAACTTGAAGGTGGCCATTTATTTAACAATTTAACACATTGCGTTCGTGGCGCTACCGAGATCCATCATAAATTGAAGCCCTATTCTCCTACTGATCTGACTAAGGAAACAAGTTCCTTGAATTTTAGCTCAATTATTAATTTCTTCCTGTGAATTTCCAAATCACAGTCTCTTTTACTCCCGGTTAAATTCTGACAACTAAGTGTATCGAATTTACTAGGCTCGCGAGAACACTTGCGAATAGCCTTTAAAACGTTGATTTGGAAACGAAAGAGACTATCCATAACTGGGGGGATAAGCCATGGGTAGTAGGTTATCACGTTGCGATTATTTCTAGAACAAAAAGTATTCCTGCATGCACATGCACATATTCATCGGTGTGGATAATGTGAGTCACATCATGCAGTTTGAAAATCTTGAGCAATCTTAAGTAGAAATTTTGGAAGATATATAATAGATCAAAATAATGATCAACACACTACTGAGGAGAAATAGAAGAGAAAGGGAAAGGTGGTGGCCCGGTGATAACGGTAAATTATCACCTCTGAGGACGTGTATTTACATCCCACCACCACTGATTTGCCACATTATGCGTTGTATGGCAGCCCTTTGATTGACCGCGTACCTCTTCCTGTGTATTCAATTAAAGGAAATACATATGAAAAAGAAAACCGAAAGAAAAAGAGGTTGTTTTGAATTCCCCTGTCTAAAAGCGCGTTTCCTCGCAATCACATCTGATCAGTAACAGCCTGATAGAGCACGATGAATTCCTCCTGTTCTCACTCGCGCTAAGCACTGTGTGAGAAACACTTCAAACAAAATCAGTAATGCAAATTTTGTCTTCCCCATCATCTTTCCTCTCACCTCTGCGGCATTGCCACGCGTGCGTCCATATTAGCACAAACCGTTTGTGTTCATCGAATTTACCTCTTCATCTAACCTATACAACCGATACTGCTGTGGACAGCATAACCACTACTGCGTAATCCCCTAGCCACTAAAACCTCAACGCAATGTTATGATGTTGGTTGGTTACGTCGTTAGGGTTTTATTAGCAACTGACCTACACCCATTTCGGTTCTCACAAACCCACATTCGTCTTGCCTCGGATGTCGTGTACATCCGTGAATTCTGTTTTGTGTGTTTGTGCGCGCACGCGTATATTTATGTGATACATACACATAGTAAGGAGGACCTGTTTCACACATCAATCGGTGTGATTTATGCCTCTTATCGGCCTGATCCATCACTTACTGTTTCGGTCCAGGAGCGAAGCGAAACGAAAACAAAACTTCCCTGCATATGGTCCACCCCTGGGGTTGTCATAAAGCAAAGAGAGAGCGATGTGTATGCGTGGATTCTGTGTAACGTGGTTCTCATCCGTTTGGGACTGTGTAACGATTAAACGAAGATTGTTAGGCCCGTGGAAATGGGATGTTGTGGCCCCTTGTGTTGAATGAATGGGATTTGACGGGATTCAGAGATAAGAACTACCAAGTACATTACAACTATGGCCGTTTTGTTTTCTTTGTGATGAATAACATTGTTAACTGATCGCCCGATGGAATTACCAGGGGGTTAAGACGGTTAGTGTGGACACAGACTGGAGGTAGGAGTGATGCGGAGGGGGAGGGTTTAGGAGGTGTAGAAGGATCATAGTCTCAGAATTATGCTCCCTCGATTTTTAGGGAAGCTGTTGTGATTTAGCAAAAACATGTGAAGCTGTTTCTTAATGTTTCCTGAATTTCTCAAATAATACGTGCACATCCAGCTGTCTTGTATTGAGCTACAGATAACAGGATCAAAATGCCTGCAAAATTCACTAAACTGACCACCAATAGTGTGGTACCAAAGACCTGTTGTTTATACAACAGAGTAATGAGTGTTACAATTTCAGGCGAATAATTGTTTTTGATAACCCATAATCATGCGACTACGGTTTATATGAGGGAAAAATCCTAGGGATTGGTAGGAAAACAATAAAATGTGAGGAAGATGAACTCAAATTTATCTCCAACGTGCTCAGAAGCAGTAGCTATCCCGACCTCTTCATTTAACGCAATATGATGGAACAGTTACCAAGAGTATAAAATGCAAGGGTGGAAAGGAAGGAATTGTTCATTAGTCTCCCTTTTAAGGTGAAGTTGCCGCCGAAATCCTCATCAGAAGACTGAATGGAGCACGCACCTACTCTACTGTTTCAAAAGTTCGCCACTGACAACCATACGGAATAGAGATAAACTACCGATGTTGACCGCTACACTGATTGTTCACTCGTTCAGATGCGTTCGTGACGCACTCTACGTCGGTCGGCAGTTATCTATCCGCATGAAAGAACACCATCCCCGCTGGCCATCGTGTCAGTCCAAGTGAAGCACTCCGCATTATTTATTAGGTCCCCCCGAACCGGTCGAAATACGTTAGAATGCGTACGTTGGCCATAGCCGAGGTCATCTGTATTAAGCATTTGACCCCCGAACTATGGGCCCAGAAACGTCTTATCCAAGCTCTCCATCCCCGCTGGGTTGGCGAACCCACTCCTCCCCAATGCCTCCCTTGCCCAAACACAAACGTTTTCACACAACAACACCGATCCCTGAGAACTGGGTCACACGACCGTCGTGACACAACTGCAAACCCCGGAAGCACAGATTTGAGA